TTCAAGGATCACAAGAACAGATTGAGGAACCCGAGTCTGCTCCGCAGGCGATGTTCTCCAATGGAGAAGTAAACACACAACTCCGTAGGTCTACTAGGGTCATCTATCCACCTGAGAGGTATGGGCTTGTGATTGAGAATCAACAAACCGTCGAGGATGATGAACCTAGTAACTATGAGGAGGCGGTCAAGGATGTTGACTCCTCTAAATGGCTTGAAGCCATGGAATCTGAAATAGATTCGATGCCTCAAAACAAGGTATGGACCTTGGTTCCTAAACTGCAAGGAATAGTTCCTATCAGTAATAAATGGATCTTTAAAAGAAAGACTGATGCAAATGACAACGTTCAAACCTACAAAGATAGGTTGTTGTGAAAGGATATCGTCAAAGTCAAGGAGTTAGAATATTCATTTTGATGAAGTCGTTAGGAGTAACGATTTCATCAAGAACGAGGATGAATCTTGTGTTTACAAGAAGGTTAGTGGGAGTAATGTCGTTTTCTTGGTATTTTTTGTAGATGACATATTACTTATAGGAAATGACATCCCCACATTACAAACAATGAAAGATTGGCTTTCAAAAAGCTTCACCATGAAGGATTTGGGAGAAGCGGCATTTATACTTAGTATAAAGATCTATAAAGATACATCCAAGAGGCTGCTGGGTTTATCTCAATCCACGTATGTTGACAAGATGCTAAAGAGGTTTAGCATCGAAGGGTCGAAAAGTGGTTTTCTTCCCGTCAGTCATAGGGTACATCTTTCCAAGGCTATGTGTCCTAAGTCACAGCCTGAGAAGGATCGCATGAGTGGAATTCCATACGCTTCGGCTATTGGATCCATCATGTATGCCATGATATGTACAAGACCAGATGTCTCATATGCTTTGAGCATTACGATAAGATACCAGTCAGACCCTGGAAAAGGTCACTAGACAGCAGTCAAGACCATCCTTAAGTACTTGAGAAGAACTAAGGATGCGTTTCTGGTCTATGGTGGGGTTGATGAGCTTTCAGTGAAAGGATTCACTGATGCCAGCTTTCAGAGTGACAAAGATGACTGCAAGTCACAGTCAGGATTTGTATTCACCTTAAATGGTGGGGCAGTGTCTTGGAAGAGTTCCAAGCAAGAGACTACAGCAGAATCAACGACAGAAGCTAAATACATAGCTACTTCAGAAGCGGCTAAGGAGGCCGTATGGATCAAGAAGTTCATATATGAACTAAGGGTGGTTCTAAGCGTGGATGAGCCCATACAGTTGCTTTGCGACAACACTGGAGCCATTGCGCAGTCAAAGGAACCTAGGTCTCATCAAAGATGTAAGCACGTGCTCCGCAGATATCACCTGATTAGAAAAATCATTGATAGAATGGATGTAAAGATGGATTATGTTCCTACAGATGATAACCTAGCCGATTCTCTGACGAAGGCTGTTTCTCAGAGAAAACATGATAGTCATTATGAGACTTTAGGTATACGACTTAGGTCAGATTGACTCTAGGCCAAGTGGGAGCTTGTTAGTATATGGATGTCCTAGAGACAATCTTTTGATTAGATTAGGACATATGCGGACCTTTTTATATTGTCGCAAATAAATAATAAGCACTCTTTATCCTGTTTCATATTTTGTCTCAATATTATTGTTAATATATTATATGAGTAACTGGATAAACCCCTTGGAATAAAATATGTATCTATTGAGTATCTGTGATGAGATCACGATCATGAGGATTTAAGGATACCAGATGTTTATTTCTAATTTATGTTCCTAATCTAGAGACACTGAGAATGGGGATCAGTAATCTCGGGTAAGACTAGCACGACTTATCTACTTGTATTCGGATACAAGGTAAAGACCTCATGAGCTATAGATATGGAGATGTCTTAGCTAAAGTCGTGGGTGGACCTATAAGGGTATTGCTCGCACTGAACAGACCCACAAAGAGACTCTATGAGGAAATCTTACAAAAGTATCATTAGAGCAATCTCTTAATATTTGGGTATGTCTTTCCTTAGACCATAAGTTGTCACCTAGACTGTGTTCTAGAAGACATGTTTTGATTGTATACCTCATCTTCCTGAAACATGGAGACTCATAGGTATACTTTTGGGCATGTCCTGAAAGAGCACAGGCCTAAGGTGATAAGCTGAAGGAATTCGTCAAATCTCTGTAAGGGATTAGGTTATCTGTAAACCGGAAAAATTGGGTTGACATTTACAAGACTCGGGAATCTATGCATAGTAAAAGAGATCATGAGATGATCTGCCTTTAGAGTCAGTAAATTGAAGATTCCCTATTTCGAGTTAAAGCTTACCCTAAACCGCAAGGGTTGATATGTAACCTCACCCTAGGTTTAATGGGAAGGTAACCGAGACGAAAGGAAATGTATAAGGCAACTAAATATGTGTAATAGGATGATCAAGTCATTAATCTAACTAGTTCTGGGGCAACAAAATATTGTTAGTGCTCTGTGTTGTCATTAAATGGGTTGTGGGCTTGTTGGGCCCGAGCCCATTTATGTCAGTGGCTATGTTGGACCTAATGGGTTACACACTAACACCTTATTGTCATGATGATCTAGCATTAAAGGTATTGGGCCTAATAATGGTTGTTAGCCCAAGAAGAAGTTTGGAAGCCCACCTAAAAGGGAAAAGGGCGCATGGATCTTGTAGTGGGCTTGGATGGTCCAAGACATTACTAATTAATTTAATTAGTTAAATTAATTATCAAATATTTAAATTTTGAATTTTGAATTTGAATTTTGAATTTAAATTTTGAAATTCGAATTTTGAATTTGAAATTTGAAATTTAAAATTTGAATTTTGAATTTGAAATTTGAATTTAGAATTTAAATTCAGAATTTGAATTTTGAATTTAAATGTTTGAACATTTGAATTTAAATGTTTGAATTTGAATTTGAATTGGCTATGAAAAGTTGTTTCATAACAAAAGAATAAGATAAGATCTTGTTGGAACAAATTCCTTGTATCAAGAGGAGATCTTTGGAGATCACCAAGAGCTGTTTGGGGCGCTGATTTGGTGTGATTATAAGTGTCATCTAGTCAACCAAATAAGCTCCAATCAGATTTGGTTGGTTGAGAGAATCATTGAGTGAGTTGGTTCAAATTTGAATGCAACTGCTCAACGTATCTGGACCCCTTTTGGGGCTGAATGGGGTGCATAGATGGCTGGCCATATGATGGCCATTAGGTCAGAATTTTGACTAGATAAAGATCTAGTCTCATGAGGATTGTTAGGTTGTTGGGAATTTTGAATTGCAACAACTCCACCCTTTCTCTCCCTTTATGTGCGCCATTTGTGATCAGAATTTGTAGAAAAAAATCTTATTGCATCCTTGCTTCCTCTCATCCTTTTGGTGTGCCACTTTTTTTAGGTTTTTTCCTAAGTGTTTTGGAATTAACCTAGCCTTTTCTAAGAGCATCCATGCCCACTTTTGTGAAGTTTTCATGCTGAAGACTTCACTCTTCTAAACACCTTTACCTAGCCTCCTCCTTCACACATTGGATGCCTAGCAAGCTTTTGTGGTGATCAATTGGTGGCTTTTCAAGAAGAGTTCTTGCATCTTGACGTGGGGTGGTGTGGATCAACATTTTTGAACCCTTTAAACCTGACACTGATCTCCTTGGTGTTTGAATCACAAACAAAGGTAACATCATGCTGTCTTAAAGCATGAATCTTGATTTCATGTGTTATTCCGCTTGAAAAATTTTGTTTTTCATCCTCACATGCCTACGGCCTTCAAGGCCATTTTCTTTCATTTAGGGATTGAGTCACTGTGTGGATGATACCTCTAGCATAGGTAGACTAGAGACCAAGCTCGGAGGCACTGTTTCAAGTATGGTGCAAATAGATAACAATGGGTTCAGGTGTGTGTATGTGTGACTCAATATAAATGAGCAGAATAACAATACATAAGATGCCCTCCTTGTGTGTGGAGGGGGTATTTATAAGGGAGAGTGACTTGGTCCTGTGTGGGTTGGTGAGGAGACGATCAACTCTCCTTGGGGTTGGCTTAAGGTGGCAGACACTGTTATGATAGCAGTGATGCATCCTATGCGCCTGGCGATGTCAGCGTGTGACAAAGGGTAGTTACCACTTATAGTATCTGGAGCGGCATCTTTGGGAGCTATGATCCCAAGATGAGACATTTTGGTGTCTCATCTTGGGAGCATCGTCGCCTTGGGGGTAAGGAAGTTAAGGGTTATTAGGGCTGATGTGGACAAAAGGTTTGGGCTTGAGCCTTTGGGCCAGTTTGACGTTGCACCATCCGAAACAAAATCGTAATACAAATTGCTTGTTTTCCGACTAATCCTCATTGTCATAGCATTTATCATGTATTATTATTCAGACTCAAATTCAAAAATCCTGTAATACTACTTATATCTAATATGTTTAATGACATCACAACATTAATGCTATCCTCTTTTCTTTGGCAGACTCATGCAAAATTCATATCTTTTATTTTATAAATTGTAAACTTTTATATAAAAATATATTATAATATTAGACTCATGTATCTTTTTAACCATATATGGTTAATGGGTTCATTATACTATCATTAAACATTTTGTCAAACTCAAATTCATTCAACAATCTTTCTATGTTATTTTGTCATCAAAACATATGTTCATTATACTATCGAAACTGTTATGGACCAGAGTAAGGCCCATATTCAGCACAAGCCCACAGGTAAGCACTATAAATAGGAGCTAAAGGCCACAGGTATGGGATATATCTTTTTACTCTACTTTATGCAATCACGACAGTGCACACACACACCCCTCAAGGCTAAGGCCATCATATTGTGTGTAGTGATTTTCTATCCCCAAGGTACCTAATTCATAGGTATCTAGAGAGAAGCACTCAAATCCTAGATCAATCACCCAATCTTCATTGGGCACATCTGCCTCAGGCAGAACATTGGCGCCGTTTGTGGGGAATTCCCATAACCAAACGTTCTAAGAAAGCCAATTAAGGAAATGGTAAGGGCTACGAGGAGTGGTCTTCGTCAACCTTCGACGTCAGATCCTGGGAACCTGCAGGTTCCTCATCCTATCAGGGAAGATCTAGAAGAACAGGAGCAGCAGATGCCACAGATCCCAGATCCAGAGGCTGTGCACGTTAGTGATTTACACTCAGATTCAGCATCAACTCCAGCGGTCAATCCGGATGCACCATACGTACAAGGGTTACAACCCATTGACGATCCGAACGCGGTAGCTCCAGATCCACAGGTGACGGATTTGGCTATGGCAGCAGTTCTTCGAAGGATGGAGGAGTTGGAGCAGCGTAATGAGCTGCAGCGACAAGCAGATGCAAGACAGATTCGGGAATTGGAAGCTCGACTATGGTGGGTTACCAACCCGGATCCTGAGCGAGCCATCACGCAGGTCATGACTGATCTACAGATTACGAACCCACGGCAGGACAACCAGGAACAAACTCGGCGTCTAGCAAGAACTAACGCTGGCCGACCTCTACAAATGGCGGCCAACCCGGGTTCCAATCAGCAACAACGGCAGCCTTTAGGCCGAGGTAATCCGGGTCATCACCAGCAACCTCGGCACGAAGAGATGCAGAGCACCCATGATGAGATACGATTGGCCGAGGTTCCCCATCCCCACCATCAAGGACCTATAATTTGAAACTCGGGTGACGTAACCGGGGTATATCAGAGGAAATATAATAGGGGACAGTATAACGACAGTCCTTTTGCATATGAGATTCTAGAAGCTCCATACCCGGAGAATTTGAACTTATCCGAGCTGATCAAGTATGACGGAACGCAGGATCCTCAAGTACATTTAGATGCCTTTGACACGGCTATGTATATCAAGGGGATAGAAGAACCCTTGATCATGAGGCTTTTTGCAACCACGTTAACTGGTGCGGCCCAGGCGTGGTTTTTGTCATTACCAGCTGGGTCTATCAGATCATTCGAAGAATTTGGTGGACGATTTTTGCTTAACTTTGCCACCAGTAAGAAGCAGCCGAAATCAGAATTCGCGTTGGGGAAGATTAAAAAGCAACCTGGTGAAATGCTGCAGAAATACCTGGATCGGTTCAAATTGGCCGCCTTGCAGGTGCCCGGGTTATCATAAAATGTTCATTTACATCTGGTAATAGCCGGGTTGCATGGAACATCTCGGCTAGCCAAGTCAATATATAAAGAGCCACCTCGGACCTTAGTAGAGTTCAACACACGCTCTAAGAAATACCTAGAGCTTGAACAGATAGAGGTAGAGAATGTAGACCAAAAACATCAACCTGGACATGGAGAAAAGCTCGGAGGTCGGCGAGCAAATGAACTTCGAGGGAAAAGACAAGATGACAGGTTTCAGCTCAGGGGGAGATTCGATAAATATGCCCCCCTAAATTCTCCTCGGTCGCAAATTTGGCGTGAGGTCGCCTCAACAGACATGAAGAAGGTGGAAAGACCTCGACCATTGCAGAACCCAGCTGGACTAGACCATTCCCGATACTGTGCATTCCATGACAGGTCGGGTCACACCACAGATGAGTGCTGGGACCTCAAAGACGCCATCGAAAGGTATGTCAGGGAAGGGAAGCTGCGACAGTATTTGATCCGGACTCAAGGATGGAGAAACAGAAAAAGGAGAGGGTGTCAGCTCATGAGCCCCACCAAAGATAAAAAATTCAGAGTAGAAGGTCGGGGTAAGAAGCCGGCCAGGGAAGACGACGAGTTTCAGGAGCCGAAATTCAAGTGTAATGTGATCAGCGGAGCTTTCGGTGGCGGGGGAGACACTATGAACGCCCGACGAAAATACTTGAGGGTGGTACTCTCAATAAGGGAATGCCTCAAGTTTAAAGAAGAAGAAACAGAGTCGCCGTTGTTATATTTCACAAAGAAAGAGCTGGAGGATGTGATGCCAGGGCATGTCGATGGCTTGGTAATTACAGGAACGCTGGTCAATTGCAGAGTTAAGAAGATTTTTCTAGATAATGGAAGCTGCGCTGACATAATTTTATGGCACGCATTCAAAAAAATGAATTTGGATGAGGAAGATCTGAAGCCATGTAACACGGCTTTAATTGCGTAATGGCCGCAATACCACCCCAAAGGGGTATATTGACCTCAGACTAACTCTGGGGACTAAGGAGGCGTACAAATCCAAAAGGGTGCGGTTCATTGTAGCCGACTTCCCTTCAGAGTACAATGTGATTCTGGGAAGACCTACCATCCACAATTGGGACATGTTAGTCTCAACCAAGCACCAAAAACTCAAAATGGTTGGTAAGCAGGGTACGGTGCTTACCATAGCAGGAGGCCAAAAAGAATCCCGAGATTGCTACTTCAAGTCGGTACGAATGGTAGACAAGGATCCTGAAGTGATAGCTGTGCTTAAGCAGAACAGCCGTAAACCCTCAAAGCAGAGTTCCGTTCATATGGTGGAATTAGATATGAGGGACGATGCCCAGATGCCAAGGCCGGAGCCCGATGGAGAGCTAGAAGAGATAATTATAGGTGAGCAGGGGCAGACCACGAAGATTGGAAAAGGGTTAGCAGATGAAGAGAAAGCCCAGCTCACTGCTTGTTTGAAGAGCAGCAGTGATGTGTTCGCCTGGAAGTCTTCAGAAATTTTCGAGGTAGATCCTGCTTTCTGTTGCCACAAGTTAGCTGTTTACCCCGGCTCAAAGCCGGTGGCCCAAAAAAGAGAAAGCTCAGCTCGGAACGGCGGCAGGTGCTGGAAGGTCACGTGAAGGAATTGCTGGAGGCAGGGTTCATCCGGGAAATACAATACGTAACCTGGTTATCTAACGTGGTCATGGTTAAAAAGCCAAACGGAAAATGGAGGGTGTGTACTGACTACACAGACCTAAATAAGGTATGCCCCAAGGATGCGTACCCAATGCCTAACATAGACCAATTGGTCGATAGCTCATTCGGGTTCCGAATGCTGTCTTTCATGGACGCTTACTCGGGGTACAATCAAATCCCATTACACCCTAAAGACCAGGAAAAAAACCGCTTTCATTGCGGAGAAGGCGAATTACTGTTATAATGTAATGCCTTTCGGGTTGAAAAATTCAGGAGCCACGTATCAAAGAATGATGAATCAGGTATTTGCTGAACAGCTAGGCAGGAACGTTGAAGTATACATCGACGACATGATAGTAAAGTCGGTCGATATGGCAACACACTTCAGAGATCTAGAGCAGACCTTCGATAAGTTAAGACAGCATCGCATCCGTTTGAATCCTGCAAAATGTGCCTTTGGGGTCTTTGCAGGAAAATTCCTTGGCTTTATGCTTACGCATAGAGGGATTGAGGCAAATCTAGACAAGTGTGGAGCCGTGCTAGGGATGACGGCACCGACGAGTAAGAAAGAAATACAGCAATTAACAGGACGGTTGGCCTCTCTCACCAGGTTCTTGCCCCGGTCAGCGGAGACAACCCTGCCCTTCTTTAAACTGTTAAGAAAGGAAGTGTAGTGTGGATGGACTTCGGAGTGCGAAGCTGCGCTCCAGGAGATTAAAAGACAACTTGCTTCTCCCCCAGTGTTAGCAAAGCCAAGAGAGTTAGAAACATTAATTCTATATCTATCTGTTGGAGACGTAGCTGTCAGCTCGGCTCTGGTACAGGAGAATGAAGAGGGTCAACAGCCGATATATTTTGTGAGTCGTCTCTTGCAAGGGGCCGAACTTTGATACCAACGATTAGATAAGGTAGCTTCTGCTCTTTTAATCTCGGCAAGAAGGCTCCGAGCATACTTTCAAGGACACAGGATTCTGGTGTGATCCGACCTACCGATCCAGCAAATACTTCATAAACCGGACTTGGCTGGAAGGATGATGAGTTGGGTTGTGGAGTTGTCAGAGTTCGACATAGTTTTTGAAAGTCGTAAGGCGATCAAATCTCAGGCATTAGCCGACTTTGTTCGAGAGCTCACTTCAATACAACATACGGACTCCGGTAGCCCGGATACATGGAAAATGTATGTCGACGGTTCCTCCAATTCAAAAGGGAGTGGAGCCGGGGTTATTATTGAAAACCTGGATGACATTGCGATTGAGTACTCTATGCATATGGACTTCGAACTTCCAACAACCAGGCGGAGTATGAAGCCCTCAAAGCGGGCTTATTGCAGGCTAAAGAGCTCGGAAGATGAAGGTTTATAGTGACTCCCAGTTGGTCACTTCTCAAGTTGATGAAAGTTACCAGGTTAGAGGACCTCTGCTGGCAAAATACCTCGAACATACAAAGCAGATTATTGCGAGCTTCGAGAAAGTGGAGATTAGTCATATTCCGAGAAATGAGAACAGTAGAGCTGACATACTATCCAAATTAGCAAGCACGAAGGGATTGGGAAATTACAGGACTGTGATTGAACAAAGCATTCTGGAACCGACATGCATCATGCAAATTTCACAGGTGAACGACTGGCGTTACCCTATCATCGAGTACATTGCCAACAGAGAGAGAGGTGGCCATGAAGCTAGTCCGGGATGCGGCATCATATACTACGGTAGAAGGACAACTTTACAAAAAAGGAATTCTTTCCCCGTTACTAAAATGTTTAACTTCGAATAGAGCCCAATATGTTCTATCTGAAATCCATGAGGGCATCAATGGTCAGCACGTCAGGGGCAAGGCGCTAGCTCGGAAAGCGCTTTGAGCCGGTTACTTTTGGCCTTCAATGGTTAATGATGCAAAGGAGCACGTTCAAAAGTGCGATCAATGCCAAAGGCACGGAAGGAACCTGCTGGCTCCCCCAGAGGAGTTAAATTTAATCACGGCCCCATGGTCGTTCTACAAGTGGGGAATAGACCTCTTGGGACCATTTGCAGCAGCTGAGGGCCAGTTGAAATGGCTAGTGGTTGCAGTTGATTATTTCACAAAGTGGATTGAAGCAGAGCCAGTCACCACCATAACTTCGGCCCGAATTCAGCGTTTTATGGAACAGAACTTAATATGTCGGTTCGGGATTCCGGCTGAAGTGGTAACCTACAACGGAACCCAGTTCACAAGTAAAGGGTTTCAAGGCTTGATGGAAAGCTTTCATATCCGACATCGGTTTGCCTCAGTTGAGCATGCTCAGACTAATGGTCAGGCCGAAGCTGCTAACAAAGTCATAGTAGAAGGGCTTCGCAGACGCATAAAGCAATCTGCTAAAGGAAAATGGGTGGAAGAACTGTATTATGTGTTGTGGGGATACAGAACCACGATACAGACCTCTATTGGGGAATCCCCATTCAAATTAACCTATGGATGCGAAGCTATGATCCCGGTAGAATTGGGAGAGCCGTCCTGGAGAAGGGTCCAGGCCTTGTCGCAAGCAGAAGAAGAAAACAACAAGAAAATAGTGATAGAGCTGGACCTGATAGACGAAGGTCGGGTTATGGCATACTGCAGAAATGTTATGGCTAAGCAGCTGGTGGCTAATCGGTTTAATAAAAAGGTGAAGCCGAGGACATTCGAGGCAAAGGACTTAGTGCTCCGAAGAGCAGATGTGGGAGGACGAAATGCAGCGGATGGGAAGCTAGCTCCCAGATGGGAAGGTCCGTTCAGAGTAAAAGAAAAACTCTCCAGAGGGGCTTATGTCTTAGAGACCCTGCAGGGAAAACATGTTAGAAGAACATGGAATGCGGACAAGCTGAAAAAGTATTATAGTTGAAAAGACCCAACTTTACCTCCCATCTTTTCTTTTATTGTCCCCGGAACTATAAGTGATGAATAAATTCAAATAAAGTTCATTTTCCTTTTAAATAGTTATGTTGTAAATAAATTCGGGGTATTTGAACCCGTCCTGCCCAGAGGGCAGGATTGAGCGTCCTAGCCTCGCAAGTCAACTCAGACTATTTAAAACCCGTCCTGCTCCACGGGGCAAGACCGAGAGTCCCAGTCCTAAAAAATAAATCCGGAGTATTTGAACCCGTCTTGCCCACAGGGCGAGATTGAGAGTTCTAGCTTCGTAAATAAATATGGGGTATTTGAACCCGTCTTGCCCAGAGGGTGAGATTGAGCGTTCTAGCCTCGTAAGGGAATCCGGGGTATTTGAACCCATCTTGCCCACAGGGCGAGATTGAGAGTTCTAGCCTCGTAAATAAATCCGGGGTATTTGAACCCGTCTTGCCCACAGGGCGAGATTGAGAGTTATAGCCTCGTAAATAAATCCGGGGTATTTGAACCCGTCTTGCCCAAAAGGCGAGATTGAGCGTTCTAGCCCCGTCGATCGTTCGGGGTATTTGAACCCGTCTTGCCCACAGGGCGGGATTGAGAGTTCTAGCCTCGAAAAACAAGCCGGGTATTTGAACCTGTCTTGCCCACAGGGCGAGATCGAGAGTTCTAGCCTCGAAAGTAAATCCGGGGTATTTGAACCCATCCTGCCCAGAGTCGGGAATGGGTGTTCTCGCCTCGTAAATCGTTTGGGTCGTTTGAACCCATCTTGCTTAAGTAGGGGCAAACGTTAAAAGTAGGGGACGCCCTAGAAAGCTTTCAAAACATTTCGCGAACACAAATTAAAATCAAACACATGAATTGGCAAACATTGTCCAAACAGTTCAAATTGATGAAAACAGCCAGCAGGTGGCATAGAGTCAGCAAATATTAACGAGGAGTAAAAAGATTACAAAATACACCGGCATCCCGACTTTTCATATTTGTTGTGCATCATGGGGGAGAATTTCTCTCATTTCTTCCTCGAATTGTTGTTCAGCAGCTTCTATTGCCGGATTCAAAGAGGGGCCCTCACTGGGGGTGGCATCGTTTTCCGCAGTAGAAGAGATAAATGCGCCATCTAGGACATACCCGAAGCAATCAAGTTGATTAGTATTCAGGGTTACATCCGGGTTAAAATGCCTAATCTGATTGATAGCATTATTGAATGCAGTTTCAATAGCATTTTCCAACACGGCTTGACTGTTATGATAGTCTGCGTGCAAACTTCTGACGTCAGCTTGCAGCTTCTTGACTTGCAGATTCAAGGCCGTGTTGTTTCTTTCCAACTCGGATAGTGATGACAACTTTCCCTTAACAAAATTTATGATAGCCTCTTTATTCGCCTCGAGGCCGAATGAAGTCTGAAACAAGCTTCATGTC